CCCCAAAACCCCAAAACCCCAAAACCCCAAAACCCCTCCAGATTTTATATTATTGAATAATAAGTTTTCAAAATGTCACGATTTCCTCCCAGAGTTAATAATAATTCAACTTCTGTAGTTGAGATAAGAAAGAAGAACTCGCCTAGTAAGATAGATGAGAGGAGAGCCATCAAGCCTTCCTGCTCATTTCTTAAATTCACCTTCTCTGTTGGCTCAACGCTTGAAAAGCAAGCAAGAAAGAATAATGAATACAGGTCTAAGTCCAGGCTAGAAAGTGGGGGTTCTCTTAACAGAAACTTTTATCTCAACTCTAATAAATGAGTAAAGAATAAATAAGCCTTATGTTCATCAGGAGGATAGCTACAAGACAAAGCCAAGATATCATAGGTAGGAAAGACCTAGATTCTCTTTTAACTTCATTGCTTAGGTCTAAGGCTCAGAGCAAGCTCAAGATTAACTTTGAAAATAAGTCTAAAATCAGTGATTACAACCAATCATCCAAAACTACAAAGGCTAACTCTAAACAAGACAGGATCTTCAGTAAAGATCGGCAGCCTAGGGATACAACCCCAAGCGGACATAATAAGAACGGATCATTTTATCTCAATTTCAAAATATTTGATAGTACTGTGATTTCTGATAGGAAAAATATTGTTGATCACCGTAAATCTCATGACGATCTCGCATCTGGAAGTATGCCTAAGCTTCCAACAATCAAGCATAACTCCAGCAAGCTTGATGGTAAATTAGGCACTTATGCAAGCAACAAGAATAATGCTATTAATGAAAATGATACTTTGAGATCTACTCATGCGAACTCAACTGTAAAGAATGATTTCAGATTTGCTGGGAAACTCAAGTATTTCATTAACAAAGCAGGTGAAGATACCACTTTTATGGAAAAAGATAAAAATCTGTCAACTAAAAAGCTAAATAAGATTAATTCAAAGGTAAGCCGTTTCTAAATTCTAGGCGTATAACTGATATAATGATGACTCCTTACAGCAATCTCGGGACAGGTCTAGAGAGACGCTCAGGAATAATTCTATCTCAAGTAGAGTCTATTAGTCATGATTTAGACATCATCAAGCTTAGGTCTAAAGGTCCGAAGAAGTTAGCAATAATTGATTCAAAGATGAAGACTCCTGAGAGATGAGCAGATTTCAAATCCATCCAACTTGAGAGATATAAGCAAAATCCCATTTATCTCAACCAAAAACCTAACAACAATGACGCGTTTAAGAAAAGAATCAACGAGATTGGTAGGCGGAAGAAGAACCTGGAGATTATGGCCAGGAGGACCCCTATTGCTAAGAAGAAGAACTTAAGTAATTTTTAACTAATTCATTTAGCCAAGCCTAGTGGGAGAAACTTTCATCAACAAAAGAGTTTTAATCCTTTGAACACTTCAAAGAATAAGTCTAATAAATTAAACTATTTTGAGCCAGGAAGGGCTCTTGGGCTAAACAATAACGAGGATGCCTGTAAAACCTCCGAGTCAAGGGAGTTCATCCTCGATGCAACTTTAAGTATGCGATTTAAGTCTATGTATAGATAATAGAGAAGCTTCATTGAATTATAGTTATAATGAGAATACTAATGTTATTGAAACTAAAAGAGATCGATCATGCGGAAGAATTCTTAAAAACAAAACTGTCTTGTCTAAATCTCAACATCCAAAGCTTAAACGGAGGCAGTATGGATCAAAGGTTTCAATGGTCTTGAAATCCTTGCATACTCCATTTGAAAGACATCAGAATACCTCTAATCAAATTTTGACTAATAGTATGGTATATTAGTAAATTTTAGGATCAAAATGTTCATCTAAGGAAGGTGATCTCAGCATAGTCTTCGTAGATTCTCAAAGAACTATCCACAAAGATGAAACTAACAACGATACCATAAACTCAGCTTATAACAATTTTCAGGTGTTTGAAAACCCTAATGAGAACAAATTCAGAATGAAAGGTATAAACGAGATGAAGATTTTGCCAAAATAAAAGCTTAATAAACACTAATCGTAACATTCCAAGTAAATCAATCTATCACCTTTTTAGCTGAATATACACAAGAATACGTAGACTCAGAAGACAGAGCCCAAACTCTTCATGGGTATATTTTTCTTACTGTATACTTTCTGATAATGCTTAAAATTTCATTCCTTAAATATAACTTAAATTCCTGCCTAAAACTATTTGATAGGACAGCGGATTTGGTCTGATGATCGCTGAGTAATTTCCAAAGGTCACTGAACAACGATATCAAAATAGTTGACAATGAAGGATCACTGACCAGTGAAGATGGCCAAACAGATAACTCAAATGGAAATGTACGTTAGCTGAGAAGATTAGAAAAACAAATAGAACATAGTTTTGCTAAATTTAGAGGCTTTTTAGAGAATGTTTGTAAATTACATAGGGGAAATATAACACCATTCAAGAAATTGATGACTCTGCATCTGATACTATGATGAGCTGGACTGAAGGCAGGAATGATATTGGTAAGTTATTCTAGAGTGAATTTCAATCGAACCTTTAGACAATTGGTTTGAGCAAATGGATGTTAAATAAGGACGAACAAATTTTCCTCATTCCCAAATATCAAACCCCTTGAATAAAACTAAAGCCAAGGTAAACCCTCATGCTTAACATCAAGTATATATCAAGAGCATTGGATAGATCCTGCATTGAAGCCAAGTTTAGAATATTTTGAATTTACATAAGCCTAATTTAACCAATTGCTCATCTATAAAACGGGGTTTTGGGGTTTTGGGGTTTTGGGGTTTTGGGG